AGGGGCGCACTCAGGCTAAACATGAGTGTACAGTTATTTTCAAGTAAGGAGTGAGTAGCGAATGTCAGCCAACACAAAGAGGAAAGAGTATTTAAAAAAAAAAAACCCTCAAACTTCAAAACATGCCGGTGGGAAGGAAAAATCATGCTGACCCCAGGAAGATACACAAGTAAAACCAGTAACGACATACGTGCAAAAAACCTTTGAACAGATACTGGCCAGGAAAAAATTCTACAACCTGTGCGTACAGCGGCACACGACTGACATGACTTAACTCTGCAGCTAGCTGCGTTTAACGTCAGGATCTACACTTGAATGTAGAAGGCACGTAAGCTAAATCTGTTTAGTTCCTAAGCACAAGCTTTACTTTGCCCTCTTTGCAGCTAAACCCCACTTCCCAAAGCCCCCCTCCTGTACCTTAACCATAGCTCTCAGGGATTTTGTCATTGTTTTCGCTGGACTCGAAATTCCTACCTGGAGGGAATCCATGTACATCAGCTAAGTCAAAACCAAGATACGAATGTATTCATTTTGCATTAAGAAAGCAAAAATCCCAGCATACCACTACTGAAGCCTACAATTTCTAGTCACTTTAGATCTGTCATACAACTTGAGCCTTAAATACTGTTACATTGCTTCAGGTACTGCAGAGCTCTCGAAAGAGGAGCGAAAGCAACGTTAACAGCAGCATACAGCTGTCCAGAGAACTTCTGACATAGGGGAAGCTTCCCTTCCTGGGTCACGGTAGCAATCAAAATACCCTACAAGATTTAAATAAATGCCACCGTTAATTTTTTTAAAGTTAAGTATCATGAAGTATTTTAAAGGCAACACTTTTCCTAACCTCCACAATGTCTTAAAGCAACAGAACTGCTTTTTGTAACAAATCTGCACTAGCAAAGAAGTTAGCAAAAATTACAGTACAGTATTAAACAGCCCCCAGTTGTGCTGGAATAGGTCAATCCATTCTGTCAGAAAAAGATACTATGAGAACTTTCTGGTTTAGAAATATTTTATCTTTCTTAATAGGTAAAAATACATTTTTAGTTACAAGGTTGCATTTAAACCCCATGGCATCATTAAATTGCAAGTCAGTAATTTCTGCTGTTGTTCTGCAAAAACCCGTGGCATCCAGCCCACATTTACTCACTGAGTACATGTAAATGCAAAAGCCATCACAGTTAGTGGGGAGAATCACAACTACAACACTTCAGCCAAACCAAATTAGAAATAAAAACCAATATACCTAAAGCTCCATATCCATTTCTGTATTTAATACTGATATGGATTCCAGAGATACCGTAAAGAAAATACATCATACACTTAAAATCAACTGACAATATAGCATTTAAGAGACATTCTCCAGTATGTAAGTATATAGATATATATCCCATATCACATTTAAACATCTATTCATATGTTCTTGTGGTCTGTTGCATAATAATATGTGCTGTTAGATGCTTTAATTATTCCAAGCCAGCCACAGTTAGATTTCAGAAGGAAATGAAATTTCAACTGTTGTGTCATCATTACCGCAAGGCTTAATGCTGTCTGTAACAGAAACAACATTTGTGCAGGTTTTTTGTAGAAATTCAGGTGGAGACAGGGAATTACAAAGCTATCTATTTTTTTCCCCAGTCTGAGTTACATTAAAAATTCAGTTTTGTGTTCTCTTTTTCCAGAAAATTGTGAATGTCTGGATAAGTGCAAAAGCTGCACAATTGGGACAAAAAGTGTCCGCAGCCAGATTACAAAGTTGAACATAATTTAAGCAAATACACATGTAATTCAAAACTCTGAGGAACCGTTGGCACACCACCTCAAATATCCAACACATTTGTCCTTTCATTCAAAGGGTATTTACTCCCCTAGTGTATGATTATTAATTATTCAAAAATGTTACAAAAGACTTTTCCACTCCTTTTTTATGCAGCAGCTTAAACAAGGACAGAGACCTATTTCTAGCTAATAATTTGTAAAATATTTGAAACTTTCATTTTACGAAGGAAGCAGTACTGCCATTACAATATTTTCAGATGTTCATGTAGAAATCTGATATTTGTTATATTAATATATTTTCTTTGTTAAATACTTACTTCAAAATACCCCTTATATCAGGCACAAAAACAGAGCATGAATTTCTCTTCACAGCTTTGGAAAAATGAAAACTTTTTACTAGGAAGCTAAATATATGAACTAGCTGTGCTAAACCCCCTTTATTCTGCTTTTCTGACACATTACTCATTTGTAACAAAATATCTTTTACTTTCTATTAAGATTTATTACTTTATTATTAAGGTATTTTCTTCTATTCTCATCTTGAATACAATACAGTAAGTCCAGCATAAGCTTTGACCTCATGTGAATTAGAAGATTATTATTTTGAGAGAAAATTTTGAAGTCGGTAGTCACTTTGCAACTCGTTGTCAACAGAAGTCACCGAGCTTTCAACGTGCTAGCTGGTACCTACTGTTATAGCCCATATTCCCCAGGAACACCTCAAATTTCCTCTAAATTACATTAAAGGCAATAATGACATATCTTAAATAAGAAAGCTAAGGAAAAATAAAGTATTTATCCTGCTTTCTGATAGCTAGCTAGTTTTATAGATTGATTTAAATTTTCACAGAGAAGTCACGCCTGGAACATATCCTTGTCAGTTAACAACTGCACGATTTTAAAAGCAAATGCCTGAAATGGGAGAAAATGTCTTTGTAATATTTCTGCTGCGGGCTCAAAGAATATGCATAACTCCTCTCTCAGCTTGTTTTTTGTTCATGGAATCTGCAAAGCAGGCAAGAGGGATTGAGAAATGCTATTGCTGTGAAGAAAGGATTGAGCTGTTTTAAGAGAAAACTGAAGGTTTGACACAGGGGCTTTGGGACAAGGAAACAGCTGAGCCACTCGAGCACGGAGTACAGAGGTGCCAAAACCAGCTTTCCATGAACCACCATGTGCAGTCTGGCAGAGACAGCTCTGTTTGTCAGGTGAGACAACTTACTCCACCCAATAGAGCTGGATGCCTAAACCCCCATACTGCTACAGCCAAGCTGGTTTTATTACCCAAGTTAGCGCAGGTGTACAGACACAGTGCTGCAAACTCCTTCCCAAGCTTTGTCAAAACGTTTTCGAAGTGATTCGCCAGCGTTTTAGCAGCTTTTCTGGCAGCCTGAAGCACAGAGTCTCGGGACTGATAAAGGAAAGCTCACAGAACATAAACCTTTTCTGTTTAAGTCAACTTCAGGGAAGGGTGGAGAACTGTAAATAAATAGATTGCTGTGACCAGCTTTGAACTGGAATCTCACACAATGCCTTATGGTTAACTCATGCTGGTGACAGTACAAAGACATGCTCTGACAGCTTTAATCTGGCCTGCTCCTTCTCGACAGCATTACAGCTCTCAGGAAGGCTGTTCTCGTGGAAAGGTCATGGCACGAGTACAACAGCACATGCAGCAATCGAAGAAGTGCAGCCTGATGGAAGGCACATTCAAGCAAGCTACTGAGAGCCTGAAGAAAATGAAGTTTTCTGAAAGCAGAAGTCAGCTGAGAGAAAGAATCTGCTCTGGCCCCGTCAGAATTTTCAGAATGAAATGTCTGGCTAGTCATTCACTCATCATCTAGTCTGATGACTCTTAGCTTAGCACATATTTATATGAAGAAATAAAGAAATAGAAATTTGCTGGTACTACTGTAGCTCATTCACAACCCAAGAAAACAGGAATATATACTGGTCTTGAAAGTGGTGGGGTTTTGTTTTGGTTTTTCCTCCTTAAACCAACAACAAGGTATTTCTTCTGCTACAAAAGCCTCGGAACATAATTTAGAAGCTGACAACCACAAGTCATTCAGTAGGGTCCAAAAAAGGAGAGTAGATCAGAGTTCTGTGGTGTCAAACAATCCCAAACCAGATGTCCTTTTTCCCATTTCATACTCAAAAAGGAGCAAGTAATCTTTTTGTCCTTGAGTTTGAACAATCTTCTACCATTATCAGTTGCAAGGGAAAATTGGCTACTTATTTTCAGAAGTGTTTCAGAAGACCTCAGGTGATGGGCAGGAGTTAATTGTCAAAAATTGAACTAGATGCCCCCAAGTCCTCAGAAGATCCATTGACACCAGGTGTTTCCAGGCTGAGCTTTCTAAAGAAACTGGTGTTTGCCTAACTGTTTAACAAGGGATGCACCGAAGGGGGGGGGGCCTAGAGAAGTTCAACGATCTTGCAAAAAAACTGTTACGACATTGCTTGCATCAGTTTCCACTAACTTAACAGTTAAATATAGTTTGGAACATTGTGTTGCCTTCTGAATCTTGAGAACTGGAGGTGTCAGAAGTAGCAATTTAGGTCTCCACCTAAATGAAGGTGAGGGCATTGCCAGTAACATTTGCCGGTACTCTGAATCAGAGATGCATCTGCTTGCCTGCACTACACTTGAAAAGTTCATTTCCCTGAAAGGGTAAGTGCTCTATATAAACACTTGCATGCCTTATAAAATCTGCAGAAAATGTCAGGACTAAATAACATGTCACGAGCAGTGCCACAGCCACAGCCATGTCTACAAAGTCTACGTTACTCTGAGTGAACTGAAGGACAAGTATGCCACTAGTATTTGTTGATCTGAAGTCACTTAGGCACTTACTCACACGGAATGTCTGTCCAACAACAAAAAGTCACACGTTGCAGGAAGTGCAAGAAAGAGAATGTGAAGATTCACTGATAATTTTCTGTTCAGAAGAGCCAATTTTTCTTTGGCTACTTCTCAAAAAGGTTCTGGTTTGTTGCTGTAAATCCCGTCCAGCTCCATCTCCGTTGGTACTGGTAAGATACAAAACATCTGTTCACGTACTTACATATCTCAGCAACCTGTCCCCTAAAGAAATCTTGCTTAGAACTGCAGAACTAAGATGGTCTGATATGAGCCCCTTAATATTACATAGTGCTGAAGAACCCCATTTCAGCACGAGGTTATCTAGCATACATGCATAATAGCCTGTCTACTTGAATAGATGCAAAGGCAGCATGTCAAATTACTGTTACATGACCAACAGTACCAATTTAATTTTGGTTCTCTGAGGCTGACAGGAAAGAAAGGTCTCTAAATTCTTTGTAGAATTATTCTCCCTGTTATCCAAGGAAAAAAAGACAAAGCTGCAGAGCAGACGGAGTTCTGAGTATCCTTTTGGCCTGCAGGTTTTGAATGACCACAGCTCAATTAACACTGACATTCGAGGTAGGCATTCAGTTCCTTGCAAATGTCACACATCTCCCACGTGGTTTTAGCCTGTCTATTGAAATTCATTCTCCAAGGCGCTTCGGCAAACTTGTAAAACACATCAGTCTCTCCCACCAGCATTAAGGCAGATGCTTTTCACGATCACCACTGCATTATTTCACTCTTGAGAACTGCTTTCACTTCATACCTATGAACAAAGAGGGTCTGGCACTGCATGACAGACCAGATTCAAGAAAACCTGTTGATGCTGACTCATTTAATACATTTTTAGGCACTTAGTATTTTAAATCCATTGTCTAACAAGCAACTCATTTCTTTATATATATAAAGAGATATGGCCAGCATGCACTCTCACATGGCAGCCACAGACACTAAGGAGGAACTGAAAGACAGCTGATTCTGCCCCATCTCAGTAAATTCAGTAACTTTCTTGATACAAGGCCCAGCTTCAACAGGCATTCTACCTACGAAAAACCAGTCCCAATTCAAGTCATCTGCAGAATTTCTGTGGACAAGTAACTAAAAAAAAAAATAATCTGTCATGTATGACATTGCTTAGTACCATGTAAGCCTGAGACTTCACTCTTATTCAGGAGTCTTTCAGTCTCTATAATTAGATTTATTTATATCCCTGCAGTACCAGTGCTCTAAAAGCCTATGGTCTCGTAGTTTGGTGCCCAGGCCATCTGAGAACACAGTAAGGCTCAGGCATTTTACTAGTCACTTAAACAGCCATAACTACAAGGTAAACTGATGCACTTAGAAATCAAAGCTACCAAACCTAATCAGTATACTTATGAAGAGACAGGGAGAACATCCAAGTTAGAGTTAACTCTAAGATCACTGCTTCAGTTTTCATACATCACTAAGAATCCACTTGGAGACTGATACCCACTCTAAGCGAGTGTATTACTTGCTTTTACTGCACTATACAGACATGTCTTGTTCAAAGAGAAGGGGTGCACCTGTTATCAAGATACTTGGGCATCAAGAGTCATAATAGCTTTGGATCTTCTGCCAAAGTTTTAGATTTGCTCTGTATAATCCTACAATGTATTTAAACTACTACTTAAGATAAAGAAAAATCCTCACAGTCCCACTATTTTATATTCTATCCTAAGTTTAAAACATTATCTTTTTTTAAACCAACTACATTCTTCTAAAACAGTAAGCGCACAGTGACAGGCATTTTAAACAAGTACTTCTTATTTATTCACAATTTAGATAAAGTTTAAGGAAAGACAAAAGAAATACAAAGGACAACATCAAAATGAAAGGGAATTTTAGTGACCGAAGTGAGTTTCTACAGCCAGTGCTCTCCATACATTTCAAAATGTTATCCAAACACTGCAGATGCAGATTCAAATAAACCCTACAACAAACCGCTATGACTATTCCCTTTGAAATTAAACTGGGAATGGAAGTTAGCCACCTTTTATCTATGAGTACACAAACCACCAAATTCCTTCAGTTTCTGCTTAAAGCCACATTTATCTTTACAAGATGGATTCTGCAATACATTTTCAAGTAGCATTTTTCATTTTGTCTGAGCTCTGCTATAAAAAAAAAGTCAGTGTCAACCTTCTGTATAACAAAACAGCTTTTGATCTTGCTTGTGGAATATATGCAATTCAGAGCAGTGTCACACTTGCAGCTTGGAGGTATCCTTGGAGATACTGCAACGCTTCTGCATTCAGACTAGTACTCAGCATTGATGGAACCTTAAAACATACGATAGAGCAGAAGTGTCAATGTGCGTATACATTAAACTACTGCTATATCTTGTTAATCACTGTGACAACACATGGTACCAAGTCAAACGACATCCTGAGAGTAGCAGTTTTTCACTGTGAAAGCAGTTGCTGGAATTACAATTCCTGATGCTGACAGTTTTACGTACTACTTCTCTGAATCATATATGAAAGAAGAGTAGAGAAAACCTACAGTTAAAGCAAATACTTGGATGCAGCAAATAAGAACTTTCAGGGAACCTTTACTTATCAAAATCTTGAACAAAACAAAGATGCTATGGGTTAAAATAGTTAACTGTAAACTTAACTTGTTCAATTTAACATGAGTTGCCTGCAATTCCCTGAGTACATACAACTGAACTGGAGACAAGTATTTATTATATACCAACAAGTGGATAAATTTTCATTTAAGAAATGGCATATTTAAGCTTATTGCTAAATTAAGTAATATGAAAATATGGCCTTTCTAAGGTTACTAGGGAAAAAAAACCTTACAAAAAGCTATATTCTATCAAAGAATAAAAGATAACAATACCTTGCATTCTGGTTATGACACACTTCATTTTGCCCATTATCAAACACAGGCAAAAGAGACCCATTATCAAAAAAATATTTCTTCTCTGTAGAATTTAGTATTAGAATGTCATGTATAAAAGTCACCTACCCTGCCTGGGCACGCTGTAGACAGTTTGTGAAGAGACTGTGCCAGATGGATTCTAGGATTGTTCACCATTTGACCTACAGGATCATGTTCTTTTTTTCCAGCGAAGGCTAGCTGAGAGAATGCAGTCTGATATCCTGGAGTATCTTCTATGTCAATGAAGTGTTCTTCATCAGGGATGGTGTCATCCTCAGGCAGTTCAAAGAGGCCAATGAGGGCCTGCAGCAAAGGAGTCCTATGTGTAAGGAGAGGAGGATAAAATTGGAGTGCTTAAAATATGTTAGGACAGGGTGTATTGTACAAGAATGTTCAAATTACTCAGAACCCTTTACAATTTAGCTCTTGCAGGTACTTGCTCAGCTACTTGAAATTTTAAGTGCCCAGTCTAAGCTGGACTTGAAGAACTGTGGATCTGTGTATTTTACAGGCATAACGTAGGTGCTCATATTAGAAGCATGAACAATGTAGTTATTTATCAGGTCAAATTCTCATGAAACATATCCAAAGAAAGCAGATTACATCTCTTCCAGATTACATCTTTTCTCTAACTGGTTCAGGGATCCAGTTATTGTCATTAAATTCAGGCTACCCCACATCCTAGACTGCTAGGCTGGCTTACAATCTTCCCAGATAGCTTTCCCCAAAATTCTACTGTCAAGCTGAGATCTTACAGTCTCTCTGTCAAGTTATAAGTATCTACGCTCAGGTCTCCTGACTAATAGAACAGCTATAAGTCAAAACTGGGCCTAACTTTTCAGAAAGAATACAAGCTAAAAGAAAGTAGTGTATTTTCTTAAAAATGCAGTCCTAGCTAGCCCAGCCAGTGGCACCTCCATCACAACAATCTCAAGCCGGTTCCGGCATCTGCTTTGAAAATTCAGTTTTATTCGTTGAGAAAAGAAAAGAAAGCGGTATGAAAAGCCTGAAACTCAGCCTCGTAACAACAGCAGGCCTAAGGAACTCACAATGGAGTTTATTTGAAGAATATATTTTGATGATAGCTTACATTTTCAAAAAAGTCAAATAGCCTTGCTAAAAGAACTTGAAGCAGTGTTCTACATACCACAGCTTGGTGTACTCAGTGTCCATCATAGGAGGGCATTCTGTTAATATTTTTGTAATGCCAACAGCACATATTTTCTTTTCAACTTGTCCAGACACTTTCTGGATTTCAGGAATTATAATTTTCTCCAAAACCATTCCAAACATCCTATTATGACATTAAAAGAAAAAGTATTAGAAAGCCTTATCAGCCTTACAGTGACCAAAGAAAACCAGAAACAGTATGAAGCACTAGGAAAAAGAGAAAACCAGATAATTTGTTATGATGCTGCCCTGTCACAGTAGATGCCTGGTAGATATTTAAGCATACAAGCTTTCCACAAAGGGAGAATAAAACCATCACTCTTTTCTTTTTATGATCTGTTTAGGAGATTAATATCTTGAACTATCAAGAAGGATCTGTGGGCAGCAAATCAGAAAAAGAAAAATTGCTAGACAAATAAATCAGCCACATTAGAAGAAACATTTGGCTAGACAAATTAGTGACAAATGCATTTTGCAATTTTAGCTAAAGAGAGAACTATTTCCTACTTTGAAAGATAAAAATTACAGAGCAGTCTTAAATAAAAAAAATAAATCATACTAACTTGGGCTGTATGCTGTCAAATATTTCCTGCAGAGCTAATGCCCCATATTTTATGCAGTACAAGTTAATGAAGACTAGGAAACCTGTAACAAGAAAAAGGTCAAATTAAAATGCAATATGAAAATAAAAGAACAGCTTTAGCGTCAGCAGCAAAATACATTCTAACAAGTTTTTCAAGGGGATAGAAACAACGATCTTTATGGATGTTCAGTTTTAGTGAAGTACATTAACTTGCCGCCTTTAAATTGTCTAAAACCTGCTGATCTCTTCATGTACTACACCACACTAAAACATGGTGGTAAGACAACTAAGAAAAGATTCAGTCCTTTTTCCCCTTACAGCAGTTACAAAGCATTAGAAAAGCTATTTGCAAATTTTTCAGATCAAGCACAAAGAACTCATCAGTGCTTTTAGCCAAAAACTTCATGCAATGCAGTTTTTCAGATCAGTTTTGAACCCCTTTGCATGGCCTTTGTACCAGAGCACAGATACAATGCATTAAAAGCACCACTTAAATTTTGTTTGTGGAAGACCATTGCAAGCAATCCTATCATATTTTGCTCCAATCAGGTGGCATTAATCAGATTTTATATGATTAAATAATAGACATTGCATAATTTGTGTAGTGGTAGTATCATTAAAATAATTTAATCAGTATGCCAATAATCTTCCTGTTACAGCAGGAAAAAAATAATCATACCCCAAGGAAAGTTCCTGATACGGCAGGAATAACCAGAATATGTATTTCAATAGTTTGTCGCAGCTTCGACAGTTTAACATAAAACCTTACCAATAACTTAAGTCATATTAAGGCAGAATGACACAAATGCATACAATATTTAACAGTAATAACACACAACTGTATGTGACAAAAGGAAGTGTGGTCAGTACTACTGTGTTCTGTGAGAGTGAAAGTTTGCTGGTATTAGTTGAGGATTAAATGGAGACACTGTCAGATAACGGTATGTCACAAAGTAAGAAAGTAAGAGGAATACATGAGTCTTTTCCTGTATTTTAGTTCCACTCCTTCAGTTTTCATGAAATGTGTCACCCGCTGTGGCAGCTGCCCGGTATGCCACCCTGGAGCACACAAATAATCTGAAGCAAGTCACTGATGTTAAGAGTCACTAGCATCCCTTCATCCGCGTAATCACAGGACATGATAGGATACTTATGCAGTACAGCTGCATGTTCTAAACAGTTGGCATCACCAGCACTGAAGCTCTTCATATGGCAAGGAACTTACTTTTAATAAATTTTGTTGTTTTGGAATTTTGAAGTCTTTGGAATAGCAGAATGAAGATCTGTTTCCTGTACTGGTCAACTGATTCACTGGAAATTTAGAAGAAGAGTTATTCAAGTCATACTAGGATTTTACTAACATCGCTCCACAGAAAAACATGTAGAATTATTCAAATATATTTTACTGATAAATGTGACTTTCAGGTGTTAAACATGATTATGAAGTATACAAACATATCAAATATATTAAAGTCTACAGAAATCAGTTCTGAATGTAATTTCAAGTCATACTCACGGAGGCATATGCTCTATAATACTGTTTAGAAGATAGAATCCTTGATGGTCATTAGCTTTAGAGGCAATCAACTTCTGGAACACACCTAACAATCCAGGCTGTAAGCAAAGCAAACATAAAACTCTATACAACAGCTCTCCATATGTGACCTACCAGAAAGTTGGCCCTTACTATTTAAGGCATACACCAAGGCAAAAGCTCTCATGACCTAAACCAGGATTCTGTTTCTGCAGTTAAGAACAAGGAAGACAGATTTCTACTGGGACTAAGTGATGCACTAAGATTAACCCTGATCAAATGAACACCAAAGCCAATTTGAACATGCATGTCTGCTTCATCAGTGGCATTGTCTAATCAAGTCTGACTATAGCAGATCATGCAGCAGAAATAACAGACGTTAAGTATGCAGAATAAATCTCCCACTGAATTTACTAATCCTCAGATCTCCCAACATTTTGGCTCTTCCTCGCTCCGGTCAAGACTGTTCTGAACAGAACCTCTATGAGTTTTCCTGATCCACAGTGTTCAACATGAGGCAAATGAGACAGGTAAATTGTGGAAACTTACCTGCTTGCAAAAACTAAGTACAGGAATTTTACCATCTTAATTGACAAAAGCATGACAGTCTAGGATTTATCTTATCCACATAATGGAAAAGCATCCAAAAAGCCTGCATTCACAGTATTTTTTGTCTTTCTACGTAAACATCATTAATGTAAAGTACAAGCACAAATTCTGCACAAATCCAGCTATTCACTAAAGGAAAAAGTTCCTCATAATTTTTAATCTTAAATCAACACGTCTAGAGGCATACACTGTGACTAAATCAATCCAACTTACAATTTTGTCAGCAGCAGCACTTGCTATTGTATTGGCACCCCGCTCTAAATAAGCCTGCAGGAGTCGGACCAAAGGAGGAATGTTTCCTGTCCTTTCCCATAACACTGGCTGAAGTAGATGAGGAAACAATGCCATATACGATGATGGGATTTCATTTTTATGCATTTCTAGAAGTAGGGACATCACTTGAAACACATATGGAATGAACTCTGGAAAAGAAACAATGACATTTACAAATTCAGCATGTATCAACACTGTCAGTTCCTAGGAACCACATATCTATTGATTGAACCTACAGTTTTAGGATATTAACACAAAGATTCCCACAAATAAAACCTCGGGGAAATGTATCACTTCCCAAATTAATTATTCATAAAATCTACAAGCATTATATAGATACAATTTCTATTTCCTCTGTGGTTCCTTAGCATTTCAGAACATGGAAAACAAACTACTAGAAACAAGGCAATACAATTATTATATTATTTATAATTATATCAATTATATAAATACATAATTATATTACTAAAAATAACAAGAGGCTTTGGAATAGTGATCATTAGACATTTTAAAAATACAGATTGTTTTAAAAATAAGTTAATACAGTTGATGTACTTTATGGAACAACCCAGACACTTTTAAGTGTTTATTAGGACTGTGAACATGCTGCGTTCTCACTTGGATTTCCTTTGTTACAGAAAAACTGCCATGAAGTAAATCATAGCAACCAATTGTAGTAGAGAGGGAGCACAAGCACTTACTGATTTTAATTTACCTTGCACATCATTCTGTAGTATCTCAGTGAACACCATAAACAAAGCCTCTTCAAAGCTTCCAACTGCATCAGGGTTTGCTTTGCACGTTATCCTTATCGACAAGCATATTGATTCAAACATGTAATGGTTAAAGTGAGGTTTGCTTGGATTCTGAAAACAAGTTAAACAGATGTATCAACCCAAACTTGCAGCCAAGTCACTTATTTAGCAAAATGTATTTTTTATTTCAACTGAAGTCTAAAGTAGCAATTGGGAATAAGTATACTTACAACTTATTTATTAATATGCTAATGAAATTAGCTCCATAGCTAAGAGCAAACAAAAACCTTTAAAGCATAAAGGAGGGGTCATTTTCATAAATATTTTAAAGACAACAACTGTTTTTCGGAAGCTCTACATAAACTAGCAAGCAGTTAAAGTATCACAAAACAAAAACTGGAAAAAAATTTTTTTTCAATCCTGTAAGTATCTAGTAAATTCTTTATTGAACACTTCTTACACTCTGCAGCTAAGTTTAAACTATACATAGAAGCTGTTTTTTGGGTAGTTGATGAAGGAATCATAAAGCATTCCCTAATGTCAATGTTCAAGAGCATTAGCCCAGCCTGAACAAAGAACTAAGAGAATTTTACCCACCAAAAGCAGGAGGGTAATTTATTTACTTTAATCCCACATTTCAGTGCCTAAATTTAGTATTAGCCTCAGAAGCTTCACAAAGAATAAAGGAGTTGTGAGAAAAACCAAGATTATTGTAATGGCGGCCTCTGCACAAGCAAACATTTATACTAAAACAAACTAGTATTACAAAGATTTTATATGCCATTTCCAAGTTTCAGATGAGAGCAAGGGAGAATGGTTTGAAGACCTTCACTGGAAGGCTGTTTGAACTTACTCTAGTCAGAAAATACTGAACAATTTACAGTATTCAAACAAAATACAAACAGCAAGGTATTAAAAAAAAAATCCTTAGGAAGACTACTCTAAAAGGTAAAAAGTGAACATTTTGCTCAGATAGCCTGTTTATTTACCTTACTGACAGCCAGCAGTTTCTGTGTAAGCTGTGTGATGACAGAAGGGATGTATGGAATTATGGATTCCTGTAGCAGAGAAAAACTCCTCATGATGGCTGCAAATAAATTGAAAGTATTACCTTCTGAAGACTAAAATACACTTCTGTCATCCATCACATGCCTAAATCCTTTACCTTTTACTATTAAATTGGATCCCAAGGAATTAGGTACAGTAAGAAAGAGCACCTGCTGCAAGAGCAATCAATCTATAATCATGACAAAGGATAAAGCAAAGCCTCGTTATCCCCAATCTATAGACAGAGCACTGAGGATTAAGCAACTCTGCAAAGACCATCATTTATCTTGGGCAAGTCTCAAATCTTGGCATACTATTAGCCATAACCCACTCAGATCTCCTGCTGACACCGATCAGGTAGCTGCCCTGACTACAAAGATGACTATGTGAGAAATAATTTGTCACAATACCATTATGTTCCATATTTCTCTTTGGTATCATAAATTTAGTCAAAGATTACTTAATACAGCCTGGTAAATAACTGCAGACTGCGCACACCACATTAACATGTTTGCATAAATTAGGTTTTTCAAATACAAATTGCAGTAGCCTGTAACTATAAGCCTTTACTTCAAGTTAACAAAGCTGCTCTTATATTGCAGAACTCATAAGGCATTTACCTTTCATAATGTACTCATTTTCAGATGAGCCAGGAAGAGTCAGTGCTTTAAAAAGGTTTGTTAATAGCACTTCCACAAATGGTGCCATTTCTGCAGCTGTAATGCTGTTAAGTGAAACACAGCTCTTTAATGGTGAAAGACATTCACAAAATTCAAGGATTTTACAATATTGTAATACTGAGAAATAAAAGATCCCTTACAGGTGTTTCTTATCCTTAATGGACAAACCTATGTAGCAATGAATTTATTTCTGCTTAAAGACTTACAGGGTAGTATTATTTGTGCCCCTCATGGTAAACAGTCTTTCAAGAGCATGGGCTGCGTAAGTATGGACCACAATACTTTCTGCTTGAAGATGATTGATTAAGAGAGGAATAGATACCAACAGTTGTTCTTTAGGTACCTACAAATATATAGCAACAAATTATACATATGTTACATAAAAATACAGATGGTTCAACACTAGAGCATAACCACTCTGAGCTCATCAGCTACAAATTGAAAGCTTGGCAGAGGAAGAAATCTTAGAAGGCTGCTCCAGTTGCTAAATCACACCTCAACAACCAAGAGGTACCTATTTCTGTCATTGCCTGTATACTTCCCCCAAACATAAGTGTTACATTTGATTGTCAGTAAATGCATGTATTCCTAATGCATATTTCTTTTTCCATTTTACTTTGTCTTAACAGGCAACTACAAAAATCAAAGCTTTTAAAAAAAATCACAGGTATTTCATAAGAGGTCAATAAAGGTAATCTAAAATTTAGAAATAACACTCAATAAGTTTTCTTACTGCATCTCACAAACCAGAAAAGGTAAAGGACAAAGATGCTGTACTGTAACAACTACTGCAATGATACGAGCAATCAAGTATATTTAGACTAACATTCACTTGAAAAAGTCTGAGTGTGTCACAGAACTAAGCATGCTAAGATGTTCAGTGCTACCACAGCATATGGACAGCATACAGACTACATGTTAATTGGGTATTTATAACAATATAATTTACTTTCAAAACTAAAAATTCAGTATGAAGTGTTATATATGACTGTCAAACACCTGTTGAGTTAACATATGGCCAAGTAAGATAAATTAGGCTTGGCAAGTATAAAGTAACAAACTACAATATGTTTTTACCATAAAAGTAAGAAAAACTTACTTGGTTTCTAAAAATCATGATATATTTGATACCATCTGCTTTTAACACAGGGAATTCATTCACTGTAATAGAAAAATATGCAAATTTTGTTGATACTTTTCATGGAAGTGTGATTACTGAACATATACTATATATAGAGGTGGCATTAAGTCATGATTTTCCCCCCCCAAAATAACACACACAACGTTTTTCTACATTGCTTGGTTTCTGCATTTCTGTATGGGCACTGCTAGACAAAGTATCAGTTTTAGGTACAAATCACACCCCAGTGCCATTAAGTGTACAGTCCAACTCTTTCAAAGATATTTCCCCTTCTGGCTGAGATTTTAACAGCCTCCACTTACATATTCCAAGACAAGGCACTACATTCCAAATATCATAAGATAATTGCTGAAGCATAAAATAAACTACGTGGCTTAAATTCTAGACATCTGTAATCTCATCAATATGGGCTGATACAGGCTACAACCTAGGCCTCACTATTTTAACTTCTCAGGGGTTTGCCATAAAGTCTCATACAGAAATCAAATCACTTTGATGTAACAAGTTTAAGCATGTAGCTGATAGCAATCATGTGTGTGTATGCTCTGATCTTGCAGATAGCATGTGGTAATCCACCTTTGTTTAAAAGCTCATTCATTGCCAGCCAACCAAATCTGAATTACTTCTTGTGTACCAGGTGTTAACAATCTTTTGTCTCAGAGGTTATGCTGATATACAAGTGCTTGAGCCTTAAGAAACAAAGGTCACTATCAAGGTTGTAGATGTATCACAAAAAATGCAATACCAAAATTAACATTAACTTACCACTAGCAGACTTTAAGTCAGGTTGAATGTGATTCACAAAGAATTCTGTCAGATTAACAAGTTCGTTGGCTTGTGTTATCCCATGCTAGAAAAAACAAAAAACAAACCAACTCTGTTTTCAGATGTTGACATTCAGCCAGTTTTCTTACTCAGTTTTATGTGCTTTTATTAAAAGGAATCTAAAGCGTGATGAGATTGTTGAAACTGCATCTTTAGCAGAGCACCATCCAATTTCCTTTTCTTAATGTTTTTAGTATCTAGATTTCAGCTGTAGCACTGTTGAGGTTCAAAGTTACCAGCTCTGAGTTGAGGAATAACAGCACATAACACAGTAATAATCAACCAAAATTTTAGATAGTAAATACCAGCATCTTACTAACTTGATCCTGTCTTATGATAGGCCTTTTAAAAAGAAGTAGTTTAGGACGCAAACTCCAATTCTGAACTATAGCAGCAAAATAATGACTACTTAGCTTTCTCTCATGAAAAATGCAACTGATTTTTAAAACAGGATTTTCAGATTAATAGTTATCAGTCAAGTGTTCTAAGTGATATTGTCCCATATTTGCCACTAAATAGCACAGAAAAAGAAAAATGTACAACTTCGAATCCTTTCTAATTGCTAGAAGACGCTGGTTCACATTACACATCACTATTATTAGCAATTGCTGTGCAGTAGTATACGACGAGAGCTTCAGGAAAAGACTGAAAATCTTCAGCAAAATTGCATAAAGATGCTGTACAACATGTTTTACTATGTTTGCCTCAAATCTGTCTTGTAAAGCCATTAAATTTGAACTATAAAACTGTAATAACACTTAAAATATTTGTTAGTATATTAAAATCTGTTCTGCAGGACATTTGATATAATGCTGCTGTTTCCAAATACAGTTTAACCATCATTACCATTCACATGCCATTTCCAAAAATCATAAACACACAAATAACAGGAAACACTGGGAAATATAATGGCAAGAACTGTAAGAGTCAGAGTCCTTCTAGTCTGCTTAACACTTCTGATCATCTTCTGTAAAGCTAAGTTTGGCCTTCCATGGCTTACAAACTCTGGCTTAGTACCATTGCAAAGCTCAGAAGTTCTAGACCCAAGCTAATTTTGTTTCTTTGTATGGCTGCTTTGCACATGCTAATAGGACTTGCCAAATGGTCACACATGGTTGTCGACTCGCCCAATCTATCTGAAGATCAGATACCACCAAATTACCAACTGTGATAGGATTATGTAATGGTCAGCGCTTTACCTCATCAACATTCAACTACTACAAATACAGTTACTCCCATTCTGAAGCAGCATAAAATAAATTGCATCAATCCTTATATACACTACAATATTTGAATGCACATGGATTAAAATGAATAGAATAAAAAAAAGTACCTTCTGTGTTTGAGCTTTCGATGCCAAAGACGTAACAAGGTAAATAGCTGCATCTTTGTGCTTCCAGTTAACAGATGGATTCTTTGCATATTCTTGCAGCATAGAATTAACATATCCAGAAAAAATCCCTGTCACAGGTCCTTCAAAAAATTTGCACAGGCCTCTGACTAGATCACAAGCTGCTCTGCGCCTGGTGTCAATATCTGCATGAGAAGCAAAGATTGTTTGGATATGAGGAAGTATACAATTTTAATATTAATAAACATAATAAATATATTAATGATATACAGCTTCTCAAGTTACAGCCACACCTTATGTCAATTGTTGCAATCCTCCACACTGATGCATAAGAACACATTTAAGTCTTTTACCACCTGTCATAATAGGGACTATTTGTACAACAGAAAGTGGAATGGACACCTGCCACCACCGCTTGCATATTCACAGGTTTTACTGCCCTCTAAAGAAAGCTTCAGTAAGCATGCAGGGGAAGGCTTGACAATTACACATCCAAATCTGGTTGGGATGGAGTTAATTTTCTTTGTAGCAGCCCACATGGGCTGCGTTTTGTACTGGTGACTAAAACTGTTGCTAACACCTCAGTGTTTTGTCTATAGCTGAAGAGTGCTTGCACCCTGTCAAGGCTTTCTTTTTTTCCTGTCCCAGCAAGTAGGCTGGGGGCAGGCAAGATGCTGGGAGGGGACACAGCCTGGATCGCTGATCCAAACTGACCAAAGGGATATTCCATGCCATATAGTGTCAGGCTCGGCATGTAAAAAAAAAACTCAAGCCAAAACAAAAAAAAACCACCACAAAACACCTGTAAAAATTTGTTTCAAGAAAGGAAAAAGAAAAGTCAGTTGGCCTTTAATACAATATAGTAACAGAAACAACTAAAGGAAAATAAAGCAAGTCAATTTAAATGTAATAAGAGTACATTTCTAAAGTAATCTCTGACGAACACAAATACTTCTTGCCTCATTTCTCTTAAAAGCAAAAGTAGCTAACAAATAAAAGCTTCACAAATATCCGGTATTGGCTACATTTTAGGCAAGAATGATAAAATGTTTGCTTGAAAAAAGTTGAAAACATTTCCCTCCAATTTTTGTCCTCCACTGCAAGCGTACAGTAATTTCTTAAATCTATTATGAAGTGCCATTAATCTAAAAGCATCAGTCAGTAAACTGTTAGTGGCACAGAACAGCATATACAGAATTGTTGTACAGATCTAGATTTGGTTTGTTTGTGCTCTGACCTGGCTGAAGACCAGACAGCTACAATCAGAAAATCAAGTAGCTCTGTTAGCCCAGCACTGTGTTTTCAGGACAGTTACTGTGTTGGTTTGAACACAGTGCCAGCGTACAAGGGCTGGCTGGTGTCCAGCTGGCTTGATCACAGATTTGTATGCAACACCGGTCAGAATTTCAGTTTAAACATGATAGACTACTAAATACAGGCACAGTCTCTCCATGTTATTTAAAACTCCACACACAGGAACTAAATACACAACTGTGGCCACTATTCAGCATTGACTTACAGGCTATATTTGCTGAAACGAGAATGCGTACAGTGCAGGACACATACCAATCCAATTAAGGAAAAAACCCTACAAAAACATTGATGGAAACAAAAAGACACTGTCATGATGTGCCCATCACAGTAAACTTGATAAAAAACTGGATAAAGTCTCTTGAAGGAGGAGAGGGAACCTTCCCAATTTAAAAAATAAGTTATAAAAGCTTCAGTAAATTGCTTCAGCTCTTTAGAGCTATATTTAAAGACCAAGTATTTTTAGTATAAATCTGTGGATTACCAGATCCTTCCAAATCCCTTCTTATATATTCTTCAGAATTATCTTCAAATGCTTCTTCATCAGCCGCTGAAAATATAAAATACATATAAGTTTAAATACGGAGGTCTCCGGTTTTTATGGTAAAAAGGTGTACTATTATCAACTTGCTATTTTTTCCAAGTACTTTTCTATAACATTATTAGAAAGTTAATCAGAAATACCCAGACAGACTAGCCTGTTTAACTTGCTGCTGCCCCACAAATTAGTCTTTCATACTCATGAGCTGATGTATTCCTGATCTTTAAAAAAAAAAAAAAAAAAAAAAAAGATAGGACATAGTCAACACTAAGCGTATTTAAAGAGGCTTCCAGAGTCATAGACTTGAGAGAGAAGCTTCTTATCACTGCAATACATCTTCACTGCATTTTAGATACTAGCATCAATATGAGCCCATCAAAACTTGGAGAAATAGAGATTACAATTTAGTAGGCCTGATACTCATGCCTATTTAGAGTGCCCGAATTATTCTGATACTCACTTTAAGCCTGAAAAGTTATTGGTGGCACATGAACTAGACTTAGTATAGTTTTCAATTTGAGATCCCAGTAAGACTGAAAAATTATCAGATGTACTCATACAATTCTACAATGCCCATAGGCCAGCAATCTGTTTGAGAAACTTGGTTTTGAATCTAGTACTAAAGTATACGAGGTAATCCTCAATTCTTAGTCCTGCAAAGCCACATATCATTATAACTGTAGTTAAGTTTTTAAAGACACAATAAAATCTAAGTCTCAAAAAGTTACCTCTAAATTCCATATTGGGAACAATAACTTTTTCACAGATGCTTGTCAATGTATTCTGGTCTTCAAACAGATGCTTGTAATGTGGTCTCTCACAAACTGAGGCCAGAAACTGGATTGCATTACTAACCAGCTGGAACAACACAAAACAGAACACATAACAGTTTTAGCATGACTGACCAATTTATAATTCATTATTAAACTTCACAAGATCAGTTTATAACAACTTACCAAGTCATATTTCACTTCCTGGCCTGTTGTGACTAACAGATTCCAGATTGCTGTTACGAAACGTGGCAGGTAGGGCTGGAATTCTTCATCATATTTTTGAGCATATAAAGCAGCATTATCACAAATTTGTGATTTCAAGAGCTCCAGTAATCCAGCTTCCTCTTCATCCTCACATAAAACAAAACTAGCAACTTAAAATATCCAAACTTCAACACCACTGAAGTATCAACATATTTGAAGGAAATATTTACCCTATTATTTAACCATGTTCTAAATAGGTGAAAGAAATCCCTCTCACGTCCCTAGAATTACTGTATGTTGCTGATTTGTATTGGAACTGCACTGCAAGTTATAAATCATACTTACATTTAAAAAAAAAAAGTACTATGCACTTTAAATCATTCAGATCTGATAGAATTTGACATGAAATTAATTTAGACATATAATAGGAAAAAGACAACACAAGGCATTGAAAAAAATATGCTTAGAAGACATTGTATCTTGCTACTTTAAATGGGAATAGTTGTAAAAATAGTTCCCTCCCCTTCCCCATACCAGCACAGATGCTTGTGGAGCCACAAAGTAAAGCGATTTGGGAAATTGAGCTGGAATTAAAAAGAAAAAAACCAACCACCAAACACCATCCCAGTTCTGTCTCCCTGACCCCAGTCCCCACCTTTCAGTTTTAATGCATATAATTTCCTGATTCAGATGAGCACACATCTGCATGAATGTCTGTGCTGGGCAATAGCCCACAGGCACAAAAGAGAAAAGAGCAGCAAAGCTTCTTTTAGCAGCAGTGTTAGCCTAAAATAACTGTGAAACTATAGCACAGGATACACTTAATGCGCCTCCCTGCGTATTGTAACAAAATTTACAGTTCTTTGGCTCCATCACGTGGCAAACTATTGTACTGTATCTGGAAGCCATCAACATTTAAAATGCAGAAAGCATCCAGAAAATTAATTTGAGCTTTGATGACTTGGTATCATCTTTCACCCGTGAAACCACTAATTGTTATAATTTGACAAAGACAGCAAATGCTAAACTAAAGTACTTAGGGATGTCATGCCTTTTATGTTCAACTGTTTCAAGTTCTTTAAGATACCCTGTTTTATAAAGCAGTGCATGAACCAGCTGAAAGGTATACAGAAAACTGAGCACTGTGACTCTCTAACGATCAGGTTATTTCAGCAGAGGTCCTCAAAAGAATCTACTCATTGTTGATTATCTGTAATTTGATTTCTGTGCACAACTGGCTATACCTGTAACTGAGATACAACTTCAGAAACTGGACCTCAAATTTCTTAGGCAACAGGGCAACTTCTCTTAAAGCCCATTTCCTTGTATTTGTTCTATTCCTTTGTTTACCCAACAAAGAAAACATTGCATTGTTCAGAGTTAGACCTAAGTTCTCAGTCAACCCTCCTCACTACAAAGAGGCAAACCAGGAGGTTTATGCAGTACTTACATCAGTCTGCAAAAGTTTATTATCTAAAGTTAAAAGACTATGAAAATTTGTCATCCATGTTTCCATATTATCTTCAAAAAACTCAGGAAGATCCTGTGAAGGAAAAGTACAAATTACATTTTAATTTCTGACTACACTGCTTAGATAACATACCTACATTTTAAGTAGCATGTATCCACCTTATAATCTACTGAGGGACAACAAAGCATGGAAAACAATCTTCAAAATGAAACACTACACTCTCCTCTTCCCAAACAAAAACCCTCCAGACAGATGCTTTGGAATACACTATTTCCAAACAAACTAGCTGCTTACACCCTATCCAGCCTACAGTTTTATAAAGAACGAACCTTATTGCCTCTTACTCCTAGAACAAGAGAACACAAGCCTCCCTTTTAACTCCAGCTTGCTCTTTTGCCCAATATGGAAGAACAGCCCAAGCAACCAACGCATGAGCATCACACTTCACAGAATTACGTTTGTGTTGAGACACTATAACCTGTATCACCTCAGCAAAGTATCTTCCTACCATTTTTCATATAGTGCATTTATTCAATAATGTTAGAAATTTAGATCTGATTTCAAAACAAAAAAATCCCACGCTCCTACCAGAATTACTCACTACTACAATGCTACAGAGCTACTAGTTTTATCTGACTTTCATCCACACAATTGAGTCCATGTCAGTACAGACATATCTGTAAAGGAGCACAGTGAGTACAAACTCAGGCATTTGACTTCTGCCTTTCACAGCTCACTCTCTGAGCGCTACCCATACAACGCCTCCTTGCTACAACGAGAGCTTAGGCTCTCTTGGACTTCTGTTTAGATAGGGCCAAGCTACCATGTTAATTAACCCTATCCTTACTGTGCCTTTACTCCAGCGTTGATGCAGACTGTCAACTTTTATTTTTGCGTTAAAGCATGGCCTTAAAGGCTGCCTCAAATAGATCCTATAAATAAGAGCATAACAGCTTCATGAGAACAAAGCAAAACTACCAGGAGAACAGGAGATTCACCTGAAAATTTAAACTGTAGAACAGCTTCGCAATTAGAATGAGAGAAGAAAAGAGAACCTTCAAAGCACTAGCGTCATTTGCATGTGTGCTGCAAAGTTCAATAGTTGCCTAGAAAAAGACATAAGATTCAGTCAAGTAACACACACACAAACCACATTGATGATTTGTATTGAGAAATGTCATGTAACTTAAAAAAAAAACAAAACCAAAACAAGCAAAAAACCCAACAAAACAACCAGAAAATACAGTTCCTTTTCCTCCCCTTATCGATTCTGTCAGGTCTCACTTCACGACTTTAGTTTGAACCTCATTAACAGTTTCAATGCAACTATTCTTAAGTTTTCATTTTGCAGGCATTCACAACAAGCAATTCAGAACGCTAAACTTGTTTTAGAGATGATTTTAAAAGAAATACCTTAAAAAGATTTGTCAAGGGCAAAGCAAAGGCATCAAGGACAAGTTTGATCTCTGTCCATAATTCATTTGACTTAAATTCATGGCGGTACCTGACAAATGAAAGAGAAATACACGAAAAATAGAATACAGTCTTCACAGTTATTACCAAGTTAACCTGCACAGAATTAGTTTTTTGTGGTGAACTTTGAAACAAATAGTATCAAGTAAACAAGAACTAAACAAGATAGTTTGATACCATGCAAAGTGTACCATTTGACAACCACTTAAATTCTTAATAAAAAGTCAATAAGCGTAAATAGAAGCTGTAACTGAAGACTTTGTAAATCTACAAAATTAAATCTAATGGTAAAAATTTAGAGTTGAACAGAAATTTACAGTCCCATATATTAACTCCCTTATTTCCAATACCTTTTAAACAAAGAGTGAGCAGTGCGAAGGACCCCATTAATGACATGGAAATCTCCACTTTGAAAGCGATTCACCATTTCTGTCAGTAAGTCTGGCCATTTCTGAGGAAAGTCTTCCCGACCAATAATACTAATAGCATCACTTAACTGGAAAGGAAACATAACCATTACATGATATAATAGCAGGCTCCTTGTTACAAAAACAAAGCAGTCATGCCAGATGTTGCAAATATCTAAGAAAAATGCTTATTATTCTTGTCAGAGTCAAAAATAATTGAGTTAAATATCTACTAGTTTTCACCACTAATAAATAAATCTCACTTTAAACCCAATGTGTACACGCAGCCTCACTTTCTGGAATTACTATATTTAACTGCCTAATGCTAGAACTCGGCTATAAGATCATACAGCAATTGTCTTTAAAGAAAAAAAAAAAGGAAAAAATCAAAGCAGGCAGAAGTCACTGTGACAACATACTCCAAGTTACTTGTATTGGGATGACCTCATTGGTAAGGGAACTGAGCTCTGCCAATAAACAGAGCCTCCAGACACACTTAAAATATTCCAAAAGTCTCATGGACATAACAAGGAATTAACATATTACCTGCTTTTGAATTTGTTCTGGGCTGCTAAGCATCAAGGGCACTATGTTGGCTTTAATGGCTATCCTGTCCGATTCGCATATTTTGTTTGGTTCATCCTCAACCTAAAATTAAAACAATAATTAAGTCATGGGCATATCAGCACACTGCAGGTAATGAGCAAATATCAGCATTTCAGAAACCCATTGCTTATACTGATTTAGGTAATTATTACATAGTTAAAGAAACTAAGATGATGATCTGTTAAAGATATTGCCTGCAATGAATCTCAACAGTAGTACCTGAAAAAAGCTGAAAGAAATTACATCTTTCTGTAAAATCTTGAACTATTTTTTTCTTTCTGTAATGGTGACTTTTCAAATCAGCAATTCAGCCATAATAAAGGTGGGTGCACATGCCAATAACCTATGTAAGTTTAACCAAGTCTCCTCTTCCACTACACCAAACCACATCTCTGTCCTCACTTCTGCCAACCTCAAAGATTTATTTTGTGCAAGCTGCCTCAAGCCATACTTTCTAGAAACCGTACATGAAGATGGGTGCAGGTTACACCACCAAAACCGTAACACTGACTTTAAGAGTTATCCAATCAGTTCAAAATATCAATGAGTTCCAAGTCCGGTCAGTCAATAATGCCAAGTGGTAGTAAATTAGAAATCTTCTACTAAAGAAAGAAAATACTAATGAGGCTTGTCACCAACCAGTGACAGCAGTGATAGTCACATTACCTGTGATGACAGCACTGAAGTTCAGAAACTTAGAAATTATCCAGCAATTAAAAGAGGTAAGCACCTCCAGAGAGTAATTCAATGATCTTGAGATGCTTAAACCAGATGGCACTACTACCCTCCTTACCTCCCTTTCACTATCTTCCCATAAACTTAAAAAAAGTTTAGTAATTGCAAAAGTTCAAGAGTTATGTTTATCTGTGAACAAGCAATTAGAAAAATAAGACACAAAGAACTTGCTTTTCTGCTTTTATCACATTGCACTGAATCAGAAGAACATACAGAATCGTTATATATACATCAAAAACCACAAAAAGAAAATGTTCTTTAAAACCTGAGTTTTACAAGTTTATACGATGTGAAGGGCAGCAATAACTGTACTAGACAAGCTCCAAGCAGGGAGGCAGGACTCGCTGCTATGCATTTAGATAGATGAGGACAACCACGGTGGAGACATCAACAACAACAAATCCTACTATGGAGTTATTTATCAAGTTTTTTCAAAGAAGAAAGACCTTTTTACAAGACATGAGAGGCAGCATATAGGTGAGTATTCTGTAGATACTTTAAATTAAACAAGCAAACTCTTCCCTCTCTCCAGAAGTGCCCTGTACATCTAGCTCTCCAGGCTCTACCAAATCAAAGTCCTTGAGTAGGCAAAACCCTTTTACTTCCACAGAGCTTTGTATCAGGCAATTCCAAGGCTGCTAAATTAAACCATGTGGTCTAGGTAAGCTAGCCTTAGGGCTTATTTTATGTTCATACAGCTGCTCTTGAAATGAAAGCTTCAATTTTTGGACAAAACAATATGCTTGAAGCCACATAGCAATCGTAACAGTCCTCTGTATGCACTTACTGTACAGCATCTCCACCTACTCCAAAACAAGTTCTCATCCTGAATTACATCAGCAATCCATAAAAAGAAAGCCACTTACAATTTTTTCCATAACAGAATGTTATTTCTACTTACAATATATCACAGATAAAGATGCAATTTGGGAGAAATGACTGAGAATATAGTATTACATAAACGAAGTTCTAGAAATTTCATGCCAGACTGAGTGCACTGATCTTATCAAACATAACCAGATCTAGGACTGCTATAGCTTCTCAGTATTAGCATGGGGGGAAGGGAGAAATCACATGCAAACTTGTAAACAGGTATGAGCTAAGATGTAATGATGAAATACTCACCAGTTTCCCTATAGTAAAGCAACATTACACAGTCAATATTTTTTCATATACAAACAGTATTTTCAGCGAGACAAAGTAGAAACAGTATCAATTAAAACCTCTCATTGCTGAAGGAGCTGAGCTCTCAAATGTAATACTTTCTACCATAAATTAAATTTCACAAATGCTCCGAATCAAAAATGTTTCTGAACGCTTCAAAACAAAGGATAAAATGGGATTAAGCAGCAGCATTTCTATCTGATGTCTACAAATACTTCTAAGCGTTAAACCAGCAAGGCCACCAAACTAAACTGCCCCACACTATTCTATGCCCCAGAAGCACTTCCATGAAAGAGAAGCTAGTATCATCACTTTCAGCTGCAGTGCTGGCTTGAAATGTTCATAACACTATGACAATAGGTACAGGCCAAATTGGCCAGCTCATGTGTATAGACACTTCACAATCATTTTAGTTTAAATAATATTACTAAATCAGTTAAATGAGCTTTAAATATCGTGTTTCTGCAAGATATGCATATAATATTAGAGAAAATTATTTGTTTGTTGTTTTATCACCCAGCTCTAGTTCTTTTTAATAGAATGGACTCCAAATGGTCCAGGTTTTAGTCCCTCACCAGTAAGTTACAACCTTGTGTTTGTTCGCTGAATGATCTACTTTCTTTCACAGAGCACAGACATATACATGTTCTCCACAGTTACTGTAGAATATTTTATTGTACCTTAAAAGAATTATTAAATCTTAGCACAACTACTCACTAGGATACTTACAATTCTCCAGTTCCTTTTAATATAGTTCTTGAACGTTACAGATGCACAAACTTTGATGACATTTTCCTGTGATTTCTCCAGCAGTGTTAAGAGTAACAACGGATAATTCTGGCTTCCTTCAACTGACTCAAGAAACTTTTCCGCTGCAAGAGAATACATTAAGGTTAGAAAAATCAGTTCAGCTTTTGCTAATGGGAGTCCTATGATTCTTCAAGCATCTATTTAAAATAATCAACCCCTGAACACTTCCCCAGAGCTTCACAAGAACAGAAACACAGAACAAGTCTGACAAAAGCTACTGTAGCTTCTTTACTACTAAGCTCTCTGACACTTCTGCTATTAACAAAAGCTCTCAAATCAAAGCAGGATGCGGAAATATTGCCTCCTCACCATTTTTAAAAGCTATAACCTGCTAGAAGTGCTGGTTTATTGTGAACAGCAGCACTGTTTTAAATAACAACAGTACAAAAAAAAAAAATCAGGAACACAGGAAAATAAAGTTACAAAAAGCAAACAAAATAAATTTGTATCCATCCTTCATTAGTTTTTTGTTTTAAAAGCATACAGAGAACTTCTGCAAAGAAGTTATTTGCAAACATCCACTGAAGTTTGCTATACACAAACAGAAGAGCCACAAAGAAACTAAACTTTTTTGGTGACTCATGAAAGTCACTTACCAGGACGCCTTATAGCAGGATCTGGATCTAGTGTTTTCTTTAGATACTCAGTTAAAGTCTGTAAATTGGCATCACTCAGCTCCATTTTGGCAGAACCTAAAACCCACAAGCAGTTTTGTTATAAATACAGATCAGAAAATCTATCAAAAAAACCCTATACATATGTAAAACTAGATTTCACAGTAGACACACATCAGCTCTTTTGACTACACTTCATGAAGCATGGTCCTATCTAATGTGTCTCATCCAATAAAAGAACAGCTAGTGCGCACTAAGCACAAAACAGAAAACATTCCATTTCTTCAGCTACATGTAACTGTTATTGTCTAGTTTATCAAAAACAAACTCCTAGAGCAGGATCACACATCCAGCAAACCACGAGCCAGGTACAGCCAAAAGATGAGGAGTTTGGTTTTGCTTTTGAGAACTTCTGTCAGCCCTGGAAACCTGTTCCTGGTTGAGAAATCTGAATGGTCCTGCCCTACATGACTGTAAATAGAACAATTCCAAGTGTATTGGAGAGTCAAGGCTTGTTTAAAGATAAATACTCATTATCAAAGAAAACTCTCAACAGAACATCAGCTTTTTTTATAAAGAGACAAAAGACTGTGCAGAGGATATGTCCACCCTGTAAAATTAATTTAGATTAGGGTGGGAGTTAATTTAAACTGCAATACTTATTACAGAATAACTCTATGCAATAAGTTTAAATTACTGCTCTCTAGTCACCCTCCCACACACGTTCTCGTACTTACCACAGCGATACATTAACTTCACAGCTTTAATTGGAATAATTAAAATTACAGTAACACTAAAACAGCAGCAAGACACGCTTTAATGGACATGTTGTTGCTCAGGATATCATCATCAATTCTGCCCATCTTTCTTACCACCAGCAGCACAGTTCACTCATGACAGAAGTAACAAGGAAGCAAAGATTTCCATTTTTTCCCCTGGAGTTTCTAATGAGTAAGATAGACTGAAATTCGTCTGCCTCACTTTGATTTATTTTATGTTGATTATCAGTGTTTCTATTTAAGCACACTTGCAAAGGCAGTGAGTTTTAATGGCACAATTTTACTTTAACTATGGCATCTATATTGTTAAGAAAGACAATAACAGTATCCTCTTGAATTAAATGAATGTTAATGAGTAACTGAGATCCCAACATATTTTGCAAAAAGTAAATCCACCTAAAGAGAGTCCTGCCTCTCATGTTTCACCCCCTTTCCCTTCTGGGGGTTTACTTGTCTGTAGTCTTGTTCACCAATTCACATCAACCAACAAAATGCCAGTGAAGTACAGCATAAGCAAACAGCACCAATAATAGCTGGCTCATCTGTTCTACAAAATGGCCTCATGCATCATTACTATGATGTTGAAACCAATACTTAAATCTTTCATAATTAAGAAAATATAAATGATCTGCTCCAGGGAAGTTTGTAAGGCTGAGGTGCAAACACAGGCAGAAATCATTTATGAAGACTTGACTCAAATGGGAAACCAAACTGAAAGAGGAGACTGACAATCCCGAAGGGCCTTTTACAAACACCTCACATACAAATGTCATATAGGGGCCCATATAAAAAATATACACCTAAAGCTGACTGAGTTTACTTTGAAGGCCAAACGTGACAATTTGAATCCACTACTCAAACCCTCATACAAAAGGCTAAGTATCTTCACCTGCTACCCTGCTTCATCTGTTTTCCTTCTCTTCCCCTAGCTATTCATTTTTTGCCGTTTTCCACTACAAAAAAAGCTGGTGACACTTGCTAGAGCAATACGATGCTTTTTGCTATGTTGTAACACACACCTCCTGAAAAGGCCACAGAAAATGAGAGTATTTTCAGACCACCTCTCCAGAAAAAAAAAGCCTGAAAATGCGCTTAATGCATTAACTACTTCAGTCAAGTTAGTGACAGACCACTTACAGAAAAGAAATCCCCCAAAGCAGGTGTCCTCCAAGTCTCACACTGTGAAGAACTTCAGAGAGCTGTTCCTGCACTCGCTCACCACGCACTTACCAAACACCCTCTACAAGCCTAAGGACGTTTACGGTCCGGATTTTATGGGAGAGATTATCCGCACACCAAACTGCCGCGGAGGAGCTTCACCCCC